TTGGCAAATAGGGTTAATGAGAATCCAAAGGGATTCTACAAATACATTAAAAGACAAAAGGGTAACTAGGGAGAGAATAGGGCCCCTTAAAGACCAGCAAGGCCACCTATGTGTGGAACTGGAGGAGATACTAAATGAGTATCTTGCATCAGTGTTTACTGTGGAGAAGGAAATGGAAGATAGAGAACGTGGGGAAATAAATTGCGACTTCTTGAAAAGTGTCCACATTAGAGAGGAGGAGGTGTAGACATCTTATAATGCATAAAGGTGGATAAATCCCCAGGTTCTGATCAGGTGTACCCTAGAACTCTGTGGGAAGCTAGGGAAGAGATTGCTGGGCCCCTTGCTGAGATATTTGTATCATTGATAGCCACAGGGGAGGTGCCGGAAGACTGGAGGTTGGCTAACGTGGTGCCACTATTTAAGAAAGGTGGAAAGAAAAGCCCCAGAACTTTAGATTGATGAGCCTGACTTCAGCGGTGGGCAAGTTGTTAGAGGGGATCCTGAGGGATAGGATTTATATGTATTTGGAAAGGCAAGGATTGATTATGGATAGTTAACATGGATTTGTGAGTGGGAAATCATGTCTCACTAACTTTATTGAGGATTTTGAAGAAGTAGCGAAGAGGATTGGTGAGGGCAGAGTGGTGGATGTGATCTATATGAACTTCTATAAGGCATTCGACAAGGTTCCTCATGGCAGACTGGTTAGCAAGGTTAGATCACATGGAATACAGGGAGAACTAGCCGTTTGGATACAGAACTGGCTCAAAGTTAGAAGACAGAAGGTGGTGGTGGAGTGTTGTTTTTCAGGCTGGAGGCTTGTGACCAGAGGTGTGCCACAAGGATTGATGCTGGATCCACTGCTTTTTGTCATTTATGTAAATGATTTGGATGTGAACATCAGAGGTATGGTTAGTAAGTTTGCAGATGACACCAAAATTGGAGGTGTAGTGGACAGCAAAGAAGGTACCTCAGCATACAACGGGACCTTGATCAGATGGGACAACAGGCCAAGGAGTGGCAGATGGAAGTTAATTTAGATAAATGTGTGGTGCTGCATTTTGGAAAGGCAAATCAGGGCAGGACTTATACACTTAATGGTAAGGTCCTGGGGTGTGTTGCTGAACAAAGAGACCTTGGAGTACAAGTGCATTGTTCCTTGAAAATGGAGGCACAGGTAGATAGATCGTAAAGAAAGCATTTGGTACGCTTGCCTTTATTGGTCAGTGCATTGAGTATAGGAGATGGGACGTCATGTTGCGGCTGTACAGGACCATGGTTAGGCCATTTTCCCTGGAGCATCGGAGGCTGAGGGTTATCGAGGTTTATAAATCCATAAGGGGCCTTGATAGGGTGAATAACCAAGGCCTTTTCCCTGGGGTGTGGGTGTTCAAAACCAGAGGGCATTGGATTAAGGTGAGAGGAGACAGATTTAAAAGGGGCCAAATGGGCAACATTTTCATGCAGAGGGTGGTGCTTGTATAAAATGAGCTGCCAGAGGAAGTGGTGATGGCTGGTACATTTAAAAGGCATCTGGATGTGTATATGAATAGGAAGGGTTCAGAGTGATACGGGCCAAATGCTGGCAAGTGGGACTAGAATAATTTAGGCTATCTGGTCGTCATGGACAAGTTGGGCCAAAGGGCCTGCTTCCGTATTTTATAACCCTATGTTCTGCCTTTCCTTATGACCTGATTGGGTGAAGCTAAGTGACTAAATTCAGTTACAGTATTGAGTCTGTCATAACCATTGCCTTATAGACCTGAATCCAAATGATTTCCACATCCAATATACTCGGTCAAAGAAATACCTGCATTTAGAGTTGCTGATCACGACATTGAGTTATATTTGGGAGCCAGCCGAAAGCTTCGGCACTCGATCAAGACCAACTGCATCCAGATCCAACCCAATGTTCACACTATTTCCATGTATGTCTGCTAACATTCCAGTAGGAGTAAGTCAAAGTGGCACTTTTTTCACTTTCATTATTCATGGGAAGTGTGTTTTACTGTCTAGCCAACATCCCTAGTTGCCCTTAAGAAGGCGGTGGTGAGCTGCTTTCCTGAATCACTGCAGTCCATTTGGTGTAGGTGCACTCACAATTCAATTCGGAAGGGGATTCAAGGATTTTGGCCCAGAGACACTGGCAATATATTTCCATGGTGGGATGGTGAGTGGCTTGGAGGGGAATTGCAGGTGGTGGCGTTCCCATGTATCTGCTGCCCTGGTCCTTCCATATGGTAATGGTCATGGGTTTGGGAGGTGGTGACTAAGGAGGATGACTAAGACTGATAGATTCATAGAATCATTGAAGTGTGGAAGCAGGCCATTCAGCCCATCGAGTCACACCGACCCTCCAAAGAGCATCCCACCCAGACCCACCACTCTATCCTCTCCCTGTAACCTTGCATTTCCAATGGCTGATCCACCAGCCTGAACATCTCTGGACACTATGTGCAATTTAGCATGGCTAATCCACCTAACCTGCACATCTTTGGACTGTTGGTGGAAACCGGACCATCCAGAAGAAACCAGCGCAGACACAGGGAGAATGTGTAGACTCCACTGAGACAGTGCTCAATGCTGGAACCAAACTCAGGTCCCTGACACTGTGGGACAGCAGTGCTAACCACAGCCACTATGTCACCAGAGTAGATGTTTGTACATGCAGTGTCTGTCAGGCGAGTACATCATCTTGGATGGTGACAAGCTTCTTGAGTGTTGTTGGAGCTGCATCTATCCAGGCTAGTGAGAAGTATTCCATCACACTCCTGACTTGTGCCTTGTAGATGATGAACAGGCTTTGGGGAGTCAGGAGGTGAGTTACTCACTGCAGTATTGATGAGGATGATATCTCAAATTGGGTTCCTTCAGTAACTGCTGCAGGCTCAGTCTAGCAACTATGTCCTTTAAGACCACGAGCATGGTCCGTCGGTGGTGCTGCTGACCCAGACTTCATCGTGGACAGTGAAGTCCCCCAGCAAGAGTATATTCCACCCCCTTTCCTCTCTCAGTGCATTTGGATGCTGTTCAACGTGGAGGAGTAATAATTCATCACCTGTGGGGAGGATGTCCATGTTAATCAGCAGGAGGTTTCCTTTCCCATGTTTGACCTGATGCTAAGAGACTTCTTGTGGACCAGAGTCAATATTGAGGATTGCCTCTTGCATACAACTATGCCATCTCAGCTGCTGGCTCTGTCCTGCTGGTGGGACAGGCCATAATCATGGTTGGTGATGGCATTATCTGGGACATTATGTGTTGGTTTTGATTCCCTGAGTTTGACTGTCAGGATGCTGCTTGACTAGTCTTTGAGACAGCTCTTCCAATCTTAGCACTAACCCTTAGATGTTCGTATGGGGAGTTTTGCGAGGCTGACTGGACTGAGTTTGCAGTTGTTGCTTCGATGCCTCTGTCAATGCCAAGTGGTCCATCTAGTTTCATTCTTTTTTTTTGAGACTTGTAGCAATTGATAGAACTGAGTGGCTTAATAGTCCATTTCAGAGGACAGTTAAAAGTCAAACACATTACTGTGCACCTGGAGTCACATATAGGCCAGACCAGGCAAGGACAGTAGCTTTTCCTTCCCTAACAAACATTAGTGAACTATAAGAGATAACAAGGTGTAGAGCTGGATGAACACAGCGGGCCAAACAGCATCAGAGGAGCAGGAAAGCTGACGTTTTGGGTCTGGACCCTTCTTCAGAAAGGGTTCATCCAGCTCTACACCTTGTTATCTCAGATTCTCCAGCATCGGTAGCTCCTACTATCCCTCAGTGAACTATAAGTTTTTTTACAACAATTGACAGTGGTTTTCAAGGTCATCATTAGACTGCTAATTCTAGATTTTTATTGAATTGAAATTCCATCAGCTGATATGGCAGAATTCAAACCCAGGTCTCTCGATTATTTGTCCAATGACAATTTTGTAACATCATTGCCTTCCCTTACTGATTGACATTTTGAGGCCTTTGTGACTAGTGAGTAAGTTGATAAACTGTTAGTAGAAACCATAGTTCCTTTCAAGATGTCTGCCATTTTAAAAGTGTAAAGCTAGGTGGTCTATGCTTATCAATTGTTTCCAGCAGCAGCTTAAAGAGAAAATGTATTTAACCTGGGACAAAAAAAATGAAATTACATTGTGGAGGGGTTAATGGGTGCTGAAAATAGAGCAGTAACTACATAAACTTTCAATTCTGTTGAGGTGGAAAACACACAACTGTCATAAAAATAGTTACAAAATTTCCATCCATCTTACCTGACAGTAATTAGGGAAGCCTTTAATTATTACTCACCACTATCAGTACATCCCTCCCTTACATCTCTAACTCCTCATTCTCCCTTTCTGGTAGTCATACTAATTGAGATAGTTTAACTAAGATGTGTCCTTCACTAAGAATTAACTAAAAAGGGGAGGTAAAGGTTATAACAAAATGCAATAATTAATGTTTTGAATTTCTGATAGCTGTATACTTCAGAATATGGAATGTCTTATTAATGTAATTACTAATTAAAAACCTTAATATCAAATTTGGATGGTTGTTCCTTGAAATTTTAATCCTAGTATATAATAATGGTAATAATAATAATAACAATAATAATAATAATAATGGTACATTTCATCCAGTCTGACCTGTGTGAAAGTATAATCTGTTGAGCTAGAACTGGACTATTGAATTAAGATGAATTAAGGAATAGATTTCTGTATAACCTTTAGCATTCCCCTCTCTTCAGAGTGTCAATGTAAAACATAGGATTACTTAATGCTGATAAGCCGGACATTTGGCAAAAAATCAGAGTTGCACTGATCTAATTCGCACGTGATTTTTGTTTGCAGAGGTTGCATAGAGACCTGAAAGTTGTTTCCGGTCTCTGTGCAGACCTTCACCGAGTTCACTGCAGCTGACTCCGGTTTGTGTATGTCCTGTAATAACTGTAAGTTGATTGGCTCATCATAGCCTGCAGTGCTTAGTCAATCGGAAAGAAGGCTAGTCATGAATGACCTCACTGGGTGTGGTAACAGTATAAATACAACCTCAAACAGCTAGTCTGTGTGATTTTAGTTGTGAATTTTTCCATTCCTGGAAGGGTGTTTTAAATCTTTGTAAGGATTAAATAAGCAGTTGGTAAGCATTAGTAATTTCTATTACAGTCTTGTCTTGATTTGTATCTAAACCTATTAACTATTAAAATACTGGCAGGGTTTAGTTTGTTTTCTGATGCTTTAATTTTTGCCCTATTGCCACTTGCAAGGGCATTATCTTAATTTAAGTTTGAAATTGAATGTTTCTTAGAGGGGCTTGTGTGAAAAAAATCTATTTCAACTCTGCTGTGTACTTTTTCTGCATATGGAAGTGATTTATGGATTTTTTTGTGAACTCAATCTTTGGTTATTTGAGACTGGTTTGTTTGAATGTTCAGTTGAAAACTGGATTCCTGCAATGAAGAGTAAAATAATGATAACTAGTTTGGGGTGGGAAGATGAATGTTGTATGACCAGTTTTTTTAAGCATACTCATTGAATCTGTACTTAACCTTATTTGGATTCAATTCCTGGATTTGAGCTCCTTCAATGCTGTGATGAAAGAAACCTTTTTCTCATAAAAGGGTGTTTGGCTCTCAAACCAGGAGCAGTAACTAATGCATCCTCTGTTTCAGATCTGGTGGGTTGATTTGAACAGCTGGCTTGCTGTCTACACCAACTGAAATAAACCATGGAATCTTGTACAAAAAATGTTTTTATTACTGGTGAACTGGATTTCCTCCAGTTTAGTCTTCAACTTAGTATTTATGGCAGGTGGAATAGAAGTTTATTTGAAAGACAATTTCTTGTCTTAACATGCTTGGTTGCTGCATGTTTTTGTGTGTTATTGTGCAAGTTTACTGGACTCTGGCAATCAAGTGTAATTTTCATGTGGAGTTGACTGACTGGCTTCTGCAGACTTCTTGTTTAATTCTATGACTTGGGTGTTCCTCACTACTTCATCCCCCTGCCTCAAAATTCAGGAACTGTAACCTAATAGCACTGGGAGTTTGTCTGTGATGCACTTTACAGCAGTAAAGGAACACCTACTACCATGTCCTCAAGGACAATGGGGCTGTGTATTATAAATCTGATTTTGCTTGCCATGCACTCTTGGGTGAGCTGTTCAAAAACAATAAATATTTAATCTAATCTTGATGCTTAAAATATGTTAAGCAATATTTAGTTATCTGCTTTGATTTGTATTCAAGTGTACAGATAAATTGTAGAGATTGAGATACAGGATTGTTGATTCAGAAGAATTTGTTTTAATGTAGTATGTTGCAAAGCTTGTTTTAAATTGGGTCTAGTGATAAAAGCAGTTAAAGATGTGATATTAACTTGACAACTGAGGGCTTTCAAAGCCCTTTAAAACAAAGTAGTGGTTAGCCATTGTGCATAATCATGCCTGATCTACTGTGACTCTACCTCCCCAGTCAACAAGAACAGCCTTTTTTAACTTTTCTACTGTTCTAGAAGTCATGACAAATAGGCCATTCACCTTATGTCTGCATCCACTGAGGAAACTTGACATCTATTTTAGCCCCACTTTCCAGCACTTAGTCCATAGATTTGTAGTTTACAATACAATTGTTTTGCCTTGATCACAAAACTGGATGGTGCATTCTGGTTGGGAATGTTGGTGGATGTAAAACCCAGAAGTGGAGTGCACATTTCAGGATGTTGTATGGCCACAGGAGATTGCAAGCATAAGGCTACTGAGGAATTTAAATTAGAATATTAAAGTTGAAGTGTTACTCAGCTGGTAATGCCTGTAGATAATTAAGCACAAAATGATGGGTAAATGGGATTTAATGTGCTAAGACATGTAGCAGTGTTTTGAATAATATTGACTTTAAAGGAGCAATACATAAAGTAGACCATTGAGTCTTGAGTCTAGGCTACCATTTGACTAGATTAATATCATTTTCCTGCTCTATGCCTAAAATCCCTTGATTTGGATAATTTCCAAAAACTAATCCAATTCATGAATGCATTTTTGAGCTTTCACAGCCCTCTATCATAGAACTCCCAAGATTCACTTCCCTCTAAGTTTGGTAGTAGATCACTAATGTCTGCTTTTGGGGCAGAAAAGCATGAAATAAGGATTTCTTCAGCAGCAGATGAGGTAAGCAGTGCAGTATTAGAGGGGAAAGATGGTCTTGGTGACAAAAGTATGATTGCCTGTGATAGTAAGAACTGGTAAGATGCTGGAGTCAGATGTGTGGAGCTGGAGGAACACAGTAGGCTGAGCAGGAAAGCTGGTGTTTTGGGTCAGGACCTTCTGAAGAAGGGTCCAGACCCAAAACATTAGCTTTCCTGCTCCTCTAATTGCCAGTTCATCTGTAAGAATTTAGGTTACAAAGTGACTAAAACACAGCACCAAGCAGAGTGAGGGAATGAAAGTTGTGTTCACCTGGTATTGGATGTTGAAGCAACCTATTTTAGACTGTGGAGGAATGGCATGAGATGATTGAGGTAAGGTTAGGTGTTGTGTATCCATGGAATGTTTTTAATGAGATGTGAGGAAGGAACAAGCCATTGATCACTTCAATGTACTTTGCACACAAGTCCTATGGTGTAGAAAAGGTTAAAAATTTGCAACGCTTCAAGGAAACCAACTTTTTAAAATCCATCTTAAATGGTGGTTGACACATGCATGCCTTAAGATTGTGAACCTGGTTCAAACTTGGCTAAGGGGGGGAACCATCCCACCAATGTCTACCCTATTAAGCCCCTCTAGATTGTTTCATTGAAGAATATTTTATGTAAAAGTGCATAGAAACTGTCCCTATAGGGACAATCCCTTAATTCCTGGAATAGCCCTAATAAACATGCTGGAGAAACTCGGCAAGTCCGGCCTCCTTTGTGGAGGGAAAGAACAATTTGTGTTTTGGGTCTGATATGGCTGTTCAGGGGTCTGTAGAAGTTTTATTGGACTCACCAGTTTGAACACTGTCTATTCTACCTCCACAGATGCTGAGTTCCTTGTTGCTTTTAGGTGTCCAATGAACTTTCGCACTCCCTCGAGACAATCTTTGAACATTACTCCAGTTGTGATCCTGCCAATGGCCTGTAGGATAGTGCAAACTCAGTTACTCATACTCAATCCCTCTTTTTATATACCATTTGCTTTATTGATAGGCTGCAGATAATGCAATGCAAGTTAGCTGTTGTGTATAATGACATCCAGTTTCTGAATACCACCAAATCAGTGTCTTTTTTTGCCAGAAACAACTTATCCAGCCATAAATCCTTGTGCTACAAGAACACCAATGTCTGCAGAACTCTGCAAAGAGTAGCTTGCCTCATCCCCCAGTGTGTCCATTTACAAGGAACATGCTGAAGGTGTGATTTGAACAATCTTCACTGGCTGTGGGTGTAGTTCCATACACAAAGCTAAACAGCATCCTGGACAAAGTAGCCTGATTGGCCACTGGCCCCACAAGCACTGCCTTCGACATTCTCTCCCTCCTTCATATCGCAATCAGCAGCCGTGTACTATCTGCAAGATGTGCTACAGCAACTCACCAAGGCTCCTTCAGCAGTACTGTCTAAACCCATGACCTCTTAGCTAGAAGGACAAGGCAGCAGATGCATCAGAACATCACAAGCTGCAGGTTCCTCCATCTCTCTCTATCATGACTTGGCACTAATTGTTGTTGGATCAATATACAGGAACTTCCTAATCCACTGAGGATGCCCCTATATCAAGGATGGCAGTGGTTCAAGGTAGTTCAGCACTACTGCTTTTGAGAGTTTTTGAAGATTGGCAAGAAATGCTTGCCTAGCTGGCGACATCCTCAATGCATGTGACATCTTTGTGCTTCACTTTAAACAATTTGACAAAGGCCTGTTTCAAACAGCATAGTCAAGCAGTCTAAACTTCTAAATTAATGTCATAAATGATGACTGGAATTAATTCTATATAAATAGGTTAACACTGCAATTCTGACTGTGGTTCAAGCATTGCAGACTTTAACATTTAGCAGTTTACCTCAATATTGAGCAACAGTAGCATAGATACTAGGTATCACCTTTCTATGATAATTGAAGGCTTTTAATCCTTGGCAAGATTTAGTATCTAAACAACTTGTGCAGAAGTGAACCATTTGCTCCATTGGAGTCTGTTATCCCTTTCTATCATGAATGCAGTCACTCAGTTTTAAAATGCTGGCAGTAATTTTTATTTGGTTAGGATGCTAACAATGAGGAGAGAATTTTAAAATTCATTATTTTCTCTCATCTGGACACCAAACAGACTTCATTTATCTTGCCCAATAACTTCAAATTAGTTAACATTGCACCTGTGATAGGATGTAACACAAATGGGTGTAAAAGTGGGGGTACAAACAGTTGAGATTGTGATAGGCTCAGTAAGTGGGCAAAGAGTTGAGAAATGGAATGGGTGGGAAGACTACCTAACTTTATTTTGTAAGGGAGAAAGAAGAGCAGCATTATTTAAATGGCAAAAAGTTGCAACACAAAGGGGTTTGTGGGTACTTGTGCATGATACCCAGAAAGCTGCTACACAATTACAGCAGGTAATCAGGAAGACTAATGGGATGTTGGCCCTTCTTTCAGGGGGTTTGGAATATGAGTGGGAAGTCTTACTGCAACTGTAAGCTGCTGGTGACTCCATATTTGGAGTACGGCGCACTTTTGGCCCCCTTTCTTAAGGAAAGATGCTATTTCATTGGAGGCAGTTCAGAGCAGGTTCATTGGGATGATCCCATGAATGGCAGGACTGTCCTGTGAGCAAAGGCTAAACCAGTTGGGTCTCTGCTTACTGGAGTAAAGAAGAATGAGAGGTGATCTCATTGAAACTGTTTTTAGGCACTTGGTGTGGTGAATGCTGAGGATGTTTCCCTTCATGGGATAGCCTAGAACCAGAGAGCATAACCTCAGAACAAAGGGATGCCTGAAGAATTATTTTCTGAAGGTGGTTTTGAAATACCTTGCCATGGAGGTGTGGTGGCAGGGATGGACAAGTGGACTTTGAAAATTTCACTAAAATTTAAGCTTGCTTCGATGTTTCTGTTCTTTTATATTAAAATACTCATACTGCAATGCCCACAATTTTGTGCTAGCTTGGGATTGACAGATAATTGACTTTTGATAATGACAGGAAATTTATATGTTATGCCCATCTTAGCCACAGAGCTAAGATCTGCACTGTGGATATCAATAGCCTCCAATTCTGAAAGTGACATTTGTTCGGTTCAGCGAGAGTACAAAAATCAAGGTTGATGCTTTAATGCAGTCCCTCCGAACTGCTGCTGTTGAAGTGCTTCCATTCAAGTGAACTTTTTAAATGGGGGCTACCTCTTCAGGTGGATATTGAAGATTCTCATGGGACTATTTTGAAGTACAGTTGAATTAATCCAAAAAATTGCAATATTATCATATTTTAATTCTAGTTAATGGCTTTTGATTGTTGAATTAACTCAGAGCTTAAGGCCTCCAATTTCCTGATCTGGGATGACAGGAGTTTCCGTCACTTAGGTGACTATATTGTCAGCTTCTATCTTAAAATAGAATGGGATGGCTTGTGCACAAACACATACATCCTGCAAAAATGTACTTGAGTAAGATGGCATACTTGTGGTACTGTGTACTTGGCATGCATCTTGAATGATTGTCCAAAACACTTTATTTTCATTTGGGTTACTTGTGTACTTTCCTGGCTAGTGAACAGTTAAACCTTCCAACCACTGCAGCTGAGGGTAGTTTTTGATAAATCTCTATTCTTATGAATGTATTTCAACTTGGATTAAAAATGACATGACCACATTTTGTTCTTTTGGCAGGACCAGATAAAATGGCATCTAATCTTGTCAGGATGTTGCTGCAGCAAGCAATGCAATCTCCTGTAAGTTTTTTAATACTTTTCAGACTCCTTTTTACAATTACTTCTGGTATCCTTTCATGTACTAGGAGCAGTAAGATTTCTACACTTATCACCGTAGGTAAGTTTTTCAGATGATCATGAGTCATGTGAATTGGAGACAAAATAGCTGCTGAGTTTTAGGGAAGACTCTGGTTTTTAAACTCTGTTATGTAGTTTGCCTTTTATTGTGTCTGCTTTTTACAGTCTTCAAACATTGAAAAGACTGCAGACCACAAAGCCTGTCACTTTAGGCTGAGAGTCAAACCATGATTTTGTCTAGTTTTTTCAATCTGTTGATTCACTACACTTTTTTGTCTTAATCTGCAAATAGTTCCTTCAATCTAACGTAACTTTAGTTTCTAACTGGAAAGCTTTTATCAAACTTTAAGATTGAGATTAGCAGGCAGCCAACCCAACAAACAATTCTTGCTAACATTGATATTGGACAAGCCAGATCCCAGAATTTAATCTAGCTAACAATTAAAAACCATACTAAACTAAGTGTTTAGCAAGATCTAAAATGGCCAAAAAGTTTCAACTTTCCTGATGTTAGAGTACAATACAAACAAATTGAGCTCTACATCCACCTGCATAACTGAGTCATTAACTTCTTTGCTGTGATCTATAGAGATGGTCCTGTTTTGAATTGCCTAATAGTTTGGGGAAAATGGGCCAAGAGAATTCAACAGAAGAGCAGCAGCTTTAAGTTTGTCATAGGATCTGTTTCCATGCTGTAGGATTCTTTGGTCCAACTAGTCCATGCTGACCATGTTCTCAAACTAGTCTAGTCCCACTTGCCTATCTGTCCAAACCTTTCCTATTCATGTACTTATCCAAATGTCCTTTAAATGTTATACCTACAGTCACCACTTCCTCTGACAGTTCATTCCACACATGAGCCACTATTTTTAAAAGAAAAGTTGCCTCATGTCACTTTTAAAAAATTTTTCTCCTGCCACCATAAAAATTTGCTCCCTAGTAGACCCTTGCTATTCACCTTATCCATGCCCCTCATGAGTTTATAAATCTCTAAGGTCACTCCTTGACCTCCTATGCTCCAGGGGAAAAATAAATTGCAGCCTATTTTTATAACTCAGACCCTCTGGTCCCAGCAATATCCTGTAGTTCATGATGTTTTAGACTAAAAAGGGTTCTGTCTAAAGGATGACCCACCTGGGGTTAACAAACTTGGTCAAAGAATAAGATATCCAGTGCAATAAGAACAAGCCAGTTCAGATGAGAACCAGGAGCAGATAGGGAGAAAATTGATTGTGAAACTTAATGGACAAGTGTGAAAGACAAGTTTCTACAGATGTATGTTTAAAAAGTAGATGGGATGGAACTTGAGGATGCAACTGGGGAATTAACAACATTGGAAAGAATAACTTAAAACATTTCTTAGTCTTCTTGAGAGCAAACAGATTCAACATCCTAAGGATAACATTAAACAAGGTGCTAATGGAGGAGGAAAAAGTCTTGAGTCTATTATGAGGCAAAGTATTTGATAAACTAATGGAACTAAAAGCAGATATCCCCAAGACCTGATGACAACTCTCATCCAAGGTTTTTAAAAGTGGCTGCAGAGATAGTGGAGGCATTGGGCAAAATATTCCAGAACTTTTTGGAATATGTGGTGCCCCTCTTTAAGAAGGGAGTGAGACTAAGCAGGAAGACAGTCAAACACATTGTTGGGCAAGTGCTAAGTCCTCGCAAGATGAAATAGAAGGACACTTGAAAGTTTTAATGCAAGCTGACAATCAACACCTTTTTTACAACTATGACCAACTTGACAGTTCTTTTGAGGATATAATGAGCAGCTGCCAAAGGGGGACTGGCAGAATATTTCTTGGAAATTCAAAGGTGCCACCTGAGAGGTTTGTGAACAAGATGCAAGTTCACTCTAATGGGGTATTGATTTAGTATGGATTAAGAATAGGTAAACAAACTAGGAACACAAACTCTGTCCCTTCTAGTCTGCTATGCCATACAAAGAGGATCAAGAATAATCTCTGTACCAAATTCTTGCTTTGTCTACATTTCCCTTGATATCTCTGAATACCAAAGTATTAATCTTTCATAGAATCCCTACAGTGTGGAAACAGGCCCTTCAGCCCAACAAGTCCACACCAAACCCCAGAGCATGCCACCCAGACCCATCCCCTATAACCCACCTAATCTACACATCCCTGAACACTACAGGCAATTTAACATGGCTAATCCACCTAACCTGCACATCTTTGGACTGTGGGAGGAAACCAGAGCACTCAGAGGAAACCCACACGGACACTAGGAGAACATGCAAACTCCACACACAGTTGCCTGAGGCTGGAATCGAACCCAGGTCCCTGGTACTGAGGCAGCAGTGCTAACCATTATGCCACTGTGAATATAGTCAATAACTTGGCATCTGCAAGTCTTCTTTCAACAGTCAATCAGGGGAAAATATTTTCCCCAAGTTCTAAATGGTTTACACCACTTCTGACACTTGTGACTCTTCTTTTAGCCTCTTCAACCAGGGAAACATTCCCTGCATCTTGTCTATCCAGTCTTGTTAGTTATTTCTGTCCAATTTCTCCTTTCTTCTGAACTCTAGTTTTGTCTGGGTCTGTACTCACTAATCTCTCAATTCCTGGTATCAGCCTAGTGAACCATTATTGCACTATAGTCAGTATATACTCTCCTTTTTGGGTAGGAAGCCCAGAACTGCACAAAATACTAAGACCCTGTATAACTAGCAGGACAACCTTTTGAACTTTGAATCCCCTTGCTATGAAGGTACTTGCCTTTCTAATTGTTGCATCTGCTTGTTTGTTTTTCATTGGTGTATAAAAACACTTGGATTCCCCTGTACATCCATGTTTTCCAATCTATCACCACTCTGCTGCTTTTAACACTTGTTGGCATATGAATATATTGTGAATAAATGCCAAGTATTTGCCCACACGCAACTTGGCTAGATTGCCCTGAATTTCTGCATCCTCATGCTCAATCCCACAAAAGACAGTTGAAATTTTTAATTTTTTTGGGTTGGAAAGATGTAACTAGTCCACTGCCGCAATCAGTCTTGGAGCTGCAATTATTGACTACTTACATTCTTGCCTTGGAGGGAATAAAGTTAATGTATCCAAACATGCTGATGCACAAGTACGTGGTAGGGAATGTTGTGATGAGGACAGGAATCTGCAAGGGAATCTAGATGGATTGAGTGGGCAAAAGTTTGGCAGATGGCCATGAATCCTCTTACCTATATTAATACTGTTGGATGAGATGAATCAAAAGGCAAACTTTATTTAAATACTCAAGCTCTTTAAAAAGAAAATCTGGTAGTTGTGCACAAATATTACCATGCAGGCACAGTAGGTGATTAAAGTGGCAAGTGGAATTTTGGCCCTTATTGCAAGCAGATTGGGAATTTTTAAAGGATACATTTTGTTATTGTACAGGACTTGGGGTTGATTTTGATTTATTGTCAAGTGTATCAAAGTACAGTGAAAAGCTGAGTATTGTGTACAGTGTTGGTCCCTGCTTTGGAAACAGGTACAGAAAATAGGCTACTCAAGATTACCTAGGCTGATTCCCAGAATGAAGGGGTTGACTTATCAAGAGCAGCCGAGGCCTTTATTGATTAGAGTTTAGTCGAATGAGGGTGATCCTTCCAACGTTAAGCTTTCCTACATTAAAATCCATCTGCCCAGTTGGTTGGCCTACTTGGTCAACCCCTCCATATCACTTTTTTGTTTTTAAATTCCTTGTGTTGTCATCACATTTCCCCTCCTATTTTCCATTAATGGAGGATGGAGGGACTAATCTCTTTTGAAACAAACTGCTGGAAACTCTGAACTGGCAGCATCTGTGGAGAGAAAACAGTTAATGTTTCAAGTCTAGTGACCCTTCAAGATTTTTCCTGACTCTCTTCCCAAGCCTAATTACATGGTTGGTTGGGAACACATACCTCCTAAGGCCTTGTTTAAGTGCTTTGTGAACTTGATTAGAGATCAATATTTAAACAGCTCAAATGTTACATGTTTTGGAATCTAAACCTGGATTTCAATTTTTAATTGGACTGCAAAGAAACTCCATTGTTCCCCTAAGCAAAGTTAATGTTTTCTCCTTGAGGTTTCCCTAAAGTTAACATTAACCCTCATGAAGGGGCAGTAGATTCTACATTAACTCCTCTTTCTCTCCACAAGTGCTGCCAGACCTTGTGTTTCTCCAGCATCTGTAGTTCTGTTTACTTTAGGAAAGCAGGCCTACTGTTGCATTATTACCTCTTTATTCAAACCTAGGCAGCATTCAATGCCTAAGATCTTGTGCTTGTATCTCCAAACTTTAGGAAAATTGTAAAAAGGCTGAGCATGACTGCTTCTGCATTACTTTAGCTACACTTTGCATGTGCTACCTCTTGATCTTGGAAAATCAAGGGCAAATCAGGACTGTCAATGTTTCATAGGAAAATAACAAGCCATGGATCTCTTCCTTGGCTTAGATTTCTCTCCCTCTTTTGCTTGCCCTGATGTCCCTCAAGCTTAACTCTCATTGTGCATAACCATCTTGATGGGCATGTACATTTGGAATTGACAGCTACCTCTGATGCAACAGCTGTTTGGATCTGCACATGGCAGGATCTCATTCAGTGATATAAACTGCCTGGCTGGATCAGCGTCTGGTTCCTAACAGAGTTCAGTTAAATGTGGCATCATTGGGAGAAAGTGGAGTGGAAAGCTAGTTAATAGTAAATAACAAATGAAGCATAGAACCAATACCAATTCTTCTAGAAACTGATACTAGCAAAGATGGCTGTCTTACTCTGCCTTGGATTTTGAAAATTATTTATCTTACAATAAAATGCACTGAACCCATGACAATGGAGCTACATTATGCTCTTGATGAGCAAGCCAGGCTGTGTTGAACTGCTTGTAAACCACTTTTGACTCCAACTTTTTTTAGAAATGTTTTCTCATCCTGTAAATGAATTGTTTTGCCATTTGGAAATCTTCATGTACCAGTTTAGTAGTTAGAAAGGGATGAAAGCAAGACACAATTTCGCTTAATCCCTCTAGTTGAAATGGGACCAAAGTGACATTAACCTGCCACTTGGGTGGAAAGACTGCAGCTGCCAACTCTGGCACAATATTGAAGAGCATGTGCCAACTGTTCAGGTGCATGGCCAACTTGCTTCAGTTTTCTCTAATGCCACAAGCTAACCTTTGTTTAAAACCCCCTATCTATCTTGTGAATGAATAAGAAAGCAGTGATATCTTGATGTGAAACATCACATTACATCCTATAATTGATTCTTCCTAGAAAAGTGACACTGTTTCTAGACTTAAAAATGGAAGCCCACCATCTACCTTGAGTGACTATATATTGGTCAAGTCAATCTCTGAATAATGACCTAGTTTGGGAAAGAGAATGCAAGTGTACAGCAATTTTTGTTTTAGATACAGTATGTTCAATCCAATTAAACAGCAAGCTTAAAGCAACTATTTTTGATCCTGAAATCATTTCCCTTTTCCTGTTCTCATTCTTGTCTACCCAGCTCCCTTCCCCCAGTGGACCAACAGTTACTCCATTTCCTAACTTTGATGCAAGTGCTGATGCTGCTGCATTAAATAATGCACTCCAGGCAAAAGGTAAACAAATTCTTTTTTCTTTTCTGGGGCAGAGTTATTTGTTGTTGTGCTGAAATAAGTAAAAATCAAATGTCTGTGTAGTTCATGGTAGAATCGCTACAGTATGGAAACAGGCCCTTTGGCCCCACAAGTCGACAGCATCCCACCCAGACCTATTTTCCCCCATAATCCACCTAATCTACACATCCCTGAACATTATAGACAATCTAGCATGGCAAATCCACCTAGCCTGAACATCTTTAGACTGTGGGAGGAAACTGGAGCATCCAGAGGAAACCCACACACGAGGAGAATGTGCAAACTCCACAGTCTCTCAAGGATGAGAATTGAACCCATGCATGGTGCTGAGGCAGCAGTGCTAACCACTGCCACCCTGCAAATGGTTGTTGATGTGGATGCACAATTCTACATAGTATTTATTTAGAGCAGGTTTTAATAGCTGAAATGTGGAACCCATTTTGAGTGAAAACTTGAACTACATATTTTGGGTACAACTACAATATTTCACACACTGATCGTGATTTCCATTTCAAAAGGAAAGGAACTTTCCCCAAACCCAGCCGATACCTTCTGTAGCAAAAGTCAATGTTCCCAACAAACGGGATAGGGGTTTATTTTGTGCTCTTACTTCTGTGATAAGACAATGATTTATAGTTGAATGGGAGTGGCTGACTTTTTCTTGGAATTTTTTCCAGGTGTGGATGAAGAAACAATTATAAACATTCTGACATCCCGCAGCAACTGGCAGCGTCAACAAATAGCCTCTGAATATCAACAAAGTGTAGGAAAGGTCAGTTCTACAATGCAATGTTTTTCTCCATTTGGAAATGCTGAATAAGCTGTAATTGTGCTTGGGAAAAGCTAACTCCAAAAACAAGTATTAAGTGATTGCTTAAATTGTGTGACACCTCTAAATTTTCCTTAATTATTTGAAGGAATGATGTATTTATTTTACATTTTTTATTTCTCTAAAAGCAACTGAAAGATGTCTTGAAGAGCAAACTGTCCAGTAAACTGGAGACTGTAGCCCTTGGCCTGATGAGAACTCCTGCCCAATTTGATGCAGATCAGCTGCATGATGCTATTAAGGTATTTTTTAAAAATCTTAAAGCAATTTCTCAGAACCATTGGGACAGTAATACTCTTGGAGTGGATCAGGGAATAAGTTAGCAACCTGAATTCCCTAGACCGTTTTGTACCCTCTTGTATACTTAAGCAGCAAACCTCATGGGACCAGAAGCTACTGAAACACTTGTAGAATCTCAACTTATTTATTGCAATCATCCAGCAAGTTTAGAAGATTCCAATAGACAAGTTGTTGCAACATGTCATATTTGGTTTGCTCAAACAGCATTCATTGAGTCTCGATGGTTATTTTACCCAAGGTGTCTCACCCTCCCTTTGTGACAAGACTAGAGAAGTATTTCATCTAGTGCTGTTGACTGTGGCTTCCTTAGCTGCTTTTTTCTTTAGATGATCTTTTTGAATTGTCTAATGTCTTAATTGAACTTCTGTCTCCTCCTTAGCTGCCTTAATTCAGATTGCAGGACGCCCCCCCCCACCATCAACCTCTGATATGATGTTGGTATCAAACTGGACTATGACTTCCAGTTGTTCTGCCAATTCCTATCTTGTGTAGCTGTGCCACTCCCAGTGCTATGGACTTGGTTTTTCCAGAAAGTACAACAGCCAGTAGTACCCAAAATGGAATCTGTTAGGTTGTACCAGATGTTTCCTCTATTACCTGCCTGGTGCTATTATTCTGTCTGATCACCACCCTTTCTGCCTTTTTTTACTCTCCCTGCAGTTTGGCAATCTAACTGTACATGTTATCTGCAAAAGCCTCAGCCTTAAGGTGATTCTAGCTGCTGCTGCAGATCTCACTAATTTACTGTAGCTGTATCAATAGAAACTCCCTGGAAACATGGCCAAGCCCTGGGCTGCTCCCTAACTTTCACCACAGCACTAAGCCAACCTATCATGCCATGACTTATCCTTAAATTGCACTTTGTTTGCTTCCTTGTGTGTATATACAGGACATTACCTCATTTCTACTTTAAGCACTTTGTATAACCTCAATTTTAGTCCAAAGGTTGGACAGTAAAGATCTCCACTTGGCTCTGTTACCAAAGTCATGACTTAGTCTGTACTGGTTGCTGATCCTGTTTGAGCTTTTCTCCTGCATTACTTGAAATATTTTCAAAGCCCACCCCTCTGCAGCTTTTCAATATTTTTGGTTTCCTTGAAGCTCTCTTACACTTCTTTTTTGCCTTTAAAACATTGATGTACTTTTGTGTACTAATTGGTAAAGATAACTTTCAAATGTAATAGGAAAGACCTTCATCACTATAATCAGCTAGCTCCCTGATCTGCAGTAGGGAAAGAACTAATTTTTCACTGGGCTCCACTGAATACAGTTCAATCTCTGCCTGTCACAGGGTCCTTGCTTTGTCTATTTTACACTCATCCTCCTTTTGGAATTTGAATATGGAAGGTAAATTAGCCAGGAAAGGATAAGCTGGATAGATAAGAATTTCAGGTGAATTGGCATAAAAACAAATGTAGATGCCATTGAGGAATTGGAGTATGAATGGTCAGATCAGCAGAGAAGGTGATAGAATCATCACAATGTGAATCTGTGCCATAGTTTCTAATTTCTAATGTCATTTTAATGGTTTTAACCTGATGTACAAAAGTGTATTAATTTCAACTTTTATGCTGATAGGGTCTTGGTACTGATGAAGACTGTCTGGTAGAGATACTGGTATCCAGGAGCAACAAAGAGATCAAGGATATCATTAAAGCGTACAAAGAAGGTAATACACTTCATGATGGGTGATCTAAAGGATAATGGAAAAGCATATGGGTCACTCCTGACAGATTGCTAACAATTGCATTTTCTCTTGTAGAATTCAAGAGTGACTTGGAGGAAAAGATCAAGGGTGATACATCAGGGGATTTCCAAAAAGCTTTAATTGCTCTACTTAAGGTATGGTATTTTAATACTGAAGTATGTGTTCAAAACAGCAACTTCTTTATTCAAAAGATTTCCATCTTTCTACTGGAACACTTTGCCTAGTACATCAATATGTATGCAGGCTAATGTTACCACAAAAGTCCCACCCTCACCTGAAGTGTGGTGACTATTCACTTAAACCATGGCCAGTTTAATCTCCAATGAGAATAGTGCTATGTTCCTCTGGAACTATAGTGACAAATTTTTATTCTTGATGAAATGTGCTAAGTGCCACTACTTGGGAAACTGCTCCCACTAAAATGGAGAAGTAAATGCCAACAAGACTAATGAGTACTGAGACTCTCATTATGGTGCAGTCCTAAAATCTGGCAAATAACAAATCTTGGAACTGAATTTTCAAGCCTATTAAAACTTGAATGGGAGAAGGGCAATGTATGAAATGGGCTTGCAGTTGCTTGTTGGGATAGTTGACTCCCAGAGTATATTTTGAGTATCTGTCATTGTATGTTAGATGTCAACCTTTAGGTATGAAGGGGGAAATAAATCAATGGAAATAACTCACTCCAGATAGTAAGAACTGCCAATGCTGGAGTCAGATAACAATTGTTCCTCAAAGATATTGATTACAACAGCTTCAAAGTTTTGAACTTTGCTGCCAGACCCATTTGAGTCTTCTAGCACTGCTTTTATTTCAAATTGATTTTTCAGTATTTTAATGAACATAAAATAAGCTACCTAACTTATTTTGACTACATAAATTCTGGTGCCATTTAAGGCCTACATCTAGGATAGTAAATATGACATGCATCAATTTAAATCTTGTCTATTGCAGGCATCTAGAGATGAAAGTTGTACAGTGGATCATGATCTTGCTGATGATGATGCAAGGGTGAGTTGATTGTTTTGCTTTTCTCCAAATGCCTGTGAATTTTTTAGCAGAAAAATTTTAACTGCAGAACTATACTTGTACATTTTTAATCTAGGCTTTGTATGAAGCTGGTGAAAAAAGGAAAGGGACTGATGTTGACACCTTCATTAAAATTCTTATGAGCCGAAATGCTGCGCACATGCGAACAGGTAAGAGAACCAAACTGTCAATCCAGTGAAGATGTTCAAACACTTGACTCATAACCAAGCTCTGACTTAATCAATTAAGATGTGTAAATTTGTTTTTTGATTTGGGTGTCTAAATACTTGCAGCAACAGTAGAATTCAGTTGCTTAATAAGATGCTTAACATGAAGTCTGCCTTTGCTTACCACAGATTCTTTCAGTCAAGCAATTTTGTAGTCCTTCCCTTATGGACCAGAAGCCTGGGTTCAAGCAGCATGTGCTTAATGTCATAATATGCCTGAACAGGTCAATTAAATTTAAGGAGATGTTGGGGGTAAAAAAGTTTAATGTCAGTGATTATTAGACCAGAGCCCAGGGACATGGGTTCAGATGCCAGCATGGGATTTGAACAAGTAATGATGGCTCTTGTGGTGCAGTGGTAGTCTTTTAACATCTGGACCAGAAGGACTGGGTGCAAGGCCACCTGCTCCAAAGCATGTATTAACATCTCTGAATGGGTTGATTTAGAGAATATCTACAATGGGAAAACTAACTGCTAATTTGATAGGGGTGTTGCCATGGAGAATGCACCTATTAATGCTGATTGACAGATAACAGCCAGGTTCTAAAATTTTTAACCAGGCACAGTGACTCTGACTCTGGTCAGGGAATTGGCCTGAGAAATCACACCACCAAAGGACTTGTCAATTTTCAAGTTAAAACATGTGTACTACAAGAAAAGAAAACTGGTAAGTTATTTTCTGATTCAACATTTCAGGAAAATGTCCTGAGCAGAGTCAGCCATCTTGGTTTAAAACTTGACCTGGCTGTTAACTGTCAACCAGCATTAATGAATTACTGAAGTATACTAAATCAGTAACTTACTAACCAACCGGCACTCTCCTTGCAGTATAAATGCTAGGTTTCCTCCTGAATTGATTCTTGCAATCTGTCCTGATGAAAGATGCAAACCTTCAAAAGTTTGTCTTTTAAGCAGTGTGAGTTCTTTACCAAATAATTATTATTCTTTTTCATTTGAAAGAGGGAATTTCAAAACTGTCTCAGACAAGTGGTCTTGCAGGTTCTTCCACTTCCTTTCCGTATTAAGAACATTATCTTGAAGGAAGGATAGAGACAATATCAAACTGAAAGATGACCTCTAACAATGGAACAGAATCCTTTACTGTACTAATGCTGAGATCTAGAAGCCCAAACCACTACCATCCTGCTGAATAAGAACTTTTTCAAATGAGAAAATCAAATCTGGCACTTACTAGCTAACAATTCCAGTGATCAAGAATAGAACTAAGTTACTCAACCTGACTGACTGTTAAATGGGAGACTCTGCATTCCAACCACAAATTTTGTGCACTGATTGGAAGTATGAAGGAACTTTTAATGAAAAGCAATATTTGACCAAGTAAAGGACTGAGCAACTGAACTGAATTATGATCTGCAAAAAGTCAATTCCAAAAACTACAAATATTGTAAATGGGGTCCAAAGACTGCTGAAAGATGATTTGAATTGTTTGGGGTAAGCTTAGCTCAAGGCTGAGGGGTGAAATGAATTCTTCTTCCTTCCATATCTCAAATTGGTTGCATAGTTGGCTAACTGACAAAATGACCAGTATTAGCTTCAAGTGACTTCTAACACACTTTGCTGTAGTGTAAATTGGCCTAAATTTTTAGAAATGCTTATTGTAGATTACCTGAATATACCATTGTTTAAAAGCTGTTTTTGTGCACACTGCTTTCTTTTTTAAACTATAAAATATCTAATCTGACTAGGACAGGAAGAATTTACACTTCACTTTGAAACTAGTTGAGGGTTTTAGTAATCCTTTTTACCACAAGTGAAATGTGGGAAAAATCTTCATACTCTTAGACTTTACAATTTCAGTTGAAATTGTAACTTGAATTTCACAGATTAAAAACTTGTTTGTTCTGTTTTATTCCAGTGTTTGAGCGATACACAAAGTATAGTAGGCATGAGGTTGACAAAGCCTTGGATCTTGAACTGAAAGGGGACATAGAAAATGCCCTCTCATCTCTGGGTATGTGAAAGATTATCTAAACCTTTTTAATGTTCCACTTCTCTGAACCTGCACAAACTAATCTCTTTTTTGTGATAACCATTGGAGTTGGTCGTTTGTTGATTTTTAATTCTTGAATTTGAGAACGCTGGTGAACAGCATCATGGAACAAATGAATACTAATCTCTGGAGCTGAAAGTCTGAGCTCCAGTCTTCTAGTAACAAAGACAAATAGGCATTAATTCAATCTGGATTTAAGACCACAAGAAATTGTGGCAGATATGCTGAGTTTCAAAACCATTAGACTTCCAAATGCTCACTCTCTCCATTACTGATATCTATCCAGGTTTGAAGATTCACTGTCACTTTCAGTAGCACTTAGTCAATATGGTTGATTTTAATGTACAAATGTAAGTAGATTTTTGTATTCTTTCAGACTGAAATGGTGGTATTTGCATCAATCAATTAGAATAACTGGGCTTTCTTCCACAGATGAAGCAATGATTTTATTTGTACTCTTAGTAACTGTTTTCAATGCAATCTCCTGTTTGAAACTCAACCGCTCAGTGCAGTCTGTCTTCTGGGCATCTTGAGTCCAGATGACTGAATTAAACTGAACAACTTCAGACAATGAGTTCTGTCCTTTTGTTTTTTTTTCTTAAGCACCAATCTTTTTTCTTTCTGGCTTGAGCTGTTCACTATTCTACCTGTATTTTACTCTCAACTAATGCCTTTACCAATTACGATTCCTTTTGCCTTTTTGTTGCACTGTATATTTGATGCATAATTGCTCTAGGTTACTATCCTATTCCAGGACTTTACCTCCTTTCCCCAACCTGTTTAATAATCAAACTCACCAAATATCTACTTCAGTTGGAAGAATCCTATTCCTGTTTAATGTTAGAGATAGTAGGAACTGCAGATGCTGGAGAATCTGAGACAACAAGGTGCAGGGCTGGATGAACACAGCAGGCCAAGCAGCATCATAGGAGCAGAGAGCCTCTCTGCTCC